TATCTGTTCGTGTATTATGTGTACTCGTTATTATAACTATGGTCGTATTTAACATAAATCACAAGTATTTGTATTCGTATTGAAGAATCCATTAGAATAGGTATAATGTGTTTAGCACACAATAGAAGATGAATACATAAATGAACAAAAATAAGAAACCTTCGCTTTGAGTGTCCTGTGCCAAAAAGGTCTTTGGTTCAGCATTAGTTCTGACATTAAAGGTAGCAGGAATTTGATATTATTTTTAAATAAACTGATATAAGATGCCAACTACTATAGCCTTCTGTCGAGATGCTCTCGGTTCACAATAACTACGATGGAACAAGAACCTAATTAGGGACAGAGCAAAAATGTAGCATTAATGACAAAGCTCTAACGAGCATTTGATGGCAGCCCGCGTGCTGTAAATGGGTTGTGCGATCAACATGGAAAATGTACAGAAATACTTACAAGTTTAACACCGGTATTCACAAATGATGCTTGCTCTAGTGAAGCAGCAACGCTCTGTGATTGGTTCGTGTTTCACTCTGCCACTCAAGTATTGTCTATGAATAGGTTTTGGGACCCTGTGCGTCCACGCGCGTAATGTTTGTGAATACGGGTGTAATCGTATTGTAAGACACGTCGTTAACATTAATAGAATGTCATGTTCGGACTGAATATGTGTAACATTTCCCTTAAAAAGCGGGAACTCTTGGGCTACTCCGAAACATACTTTCGGGTCTTCTGTCAACCTTGCTCATGCTGCGTCTCGCATTGCGGGAGACGGATGGCAACATTCAAAACTGAACTTTCGACTTTTTGGTTGCCGGGTGATGGTTTCTCTACTGAGTGAGACACGTTGATAATCTTACTCATACGCGAAATAGGTATTATACCTATGTACTTCACGGTACACATTTTTAGCTCTAGGAGTTAATATATGCAGATTAAATGTGGTGTGAAAGCAAAGTGATTAAGCTTTTATCTTGAAAGTGATTAATTACGAGGTGTTCTCGAAGAACGGCTATCAGGAATCAGAATTAATTGTGCTCGCACTAAATGTGTTCAGATACTCTCATGATACTATTGAGGATGAAAATCTTTAAAATATTCCGATTAAATCATATCTAACAGAAAGTGAGCTCTACGAGGATTATAATAATGTTCAAATTAATAACAAAGGTAGGTAATTGAGTTTTTCCGCCACTTCTTCTGAGCATGTTATCCCGAAGCGGTGGTAGGGCAAGCTATAATTGGGACGTGTTTAGCGCCCTGGAAAGGGCCTAAGTACTGAATAAAAGATTTGATTTGATTTGAAATAAGGTTAACATCAGTCGAACTGTGTCTGTTGCCAGAATAATGTCCTTTTGAAACATGTTTGTCCCGTCGCGACGCGCCGCCGAGTCCCGCTAGTCAAATTCTGCCGCGTTGTTAACTACAATCGTTCACGGGACATGGACTTTCGGAACTCTGTAAGGGTATATCCACATCCAAGGGTGGTTTGACATTGATGTATACTTGCCACGTATAAATAAATAAGTACTAGTCGCTTTTATATGCGTGAATTTACAGCATATGAAAAAATACCGTCGGGCTCTTCGCGGAGATTTCCAACGAAGTTCACGTATGAACGCACGTTTAAAGATTTGGCATCTTACGTAGTTGTAATTGGTGCTATTTTGCATAAACAAGTATAATTTGATGTGCTGTCGACTATCAAATATTTCGTGACACTCAAAGTGGCCAAAAAGTTGACAACATAACCTAATTCCAATTGTAACAAAGACGTGTTGCTTTAAAACTTAACTTTTTGGCTAAGTACTTCAGGTGTCACTATAATCGCACCAAGCAATGTAAAGACACCTTTATTCGCCAACATGTTAATGATCAGCACGCTCTATCGGCGTGAAACACGCCTGTTAAGCGTATGGAATTGACAATTACGAGGATATTCCAGAGTGGCAGACGCAGCCGTGATAAATGAGCGGCGTTGTCATAGAGTTCGGGGCTAGTTTTACATGACAGAATGTTAGGCACAGTATTGGACAGTGAGTGATGGGGCTTTATGGTATTAACGTGATTGTGTCGGGTTTTGAGTATTTAGGTTTTTGGAAAAGACTATCTAAATATATAAAAGGAGAAACTGACTGACTGACTGACAGATCAACGCACAGCCTAAACGGCTAAACGTAGGCACTTGAAATTTGGAAGGGACGTAGCTTAGGTACCGTAGAGGTGCACTAAGAAAGGAATTCCCGAAATTCCCACGGGAACGGGCCCCTAAGGGGGTAAAACGGGATCCACGCGTACGAAGTCGCGGGCGGCCGCTAGTCCATATATGTTCAACAAATTCTTCAAATGACTACCCATCAATTTTGTGTTTCTTAACACTTTATGTAGAAAATCTTTTTCTGCAGTCGAATACAAAATCGGTGATTTAAATGTCTTAAATTTAGCATTTCAATATAATAATTTTCCTAGGCTACCTACTTCATTTTTGTCTTTACTTAGCTTAATTACTTTAAGGAAGATTCAAGTTGAATACGCAATAAATTCTATGTTAATTTTTGTAAATGATTCAGTACAGAATATTAAAATAACAAAGTTGTGATGAGATGCTACATCACTACCAGATTCAGTAACCAAGTTCCACGAGTAGCAATTTAGATCGGAATCAAAACTCGTGCGCGTTAACACGTTAATATAGTGATGGGTTATTCCGCGCACGTTTCATATCGCACGGCTTGTGAATATCAACCCTAACAAACAAAATTGATATTTGGAGCTGGATGGAATGCTCGTCCATTTTGAGTGATTAAAGTTTTTAGTTGCGCATTTTGAGTGATTAAAGTTTTTAGTCGGACAGAACCTATGATTGGTTTTGACAGATATTTTTTGTAGTTATTTCATTTTTAGCGTTAATAGTTTTTTGTTTGGAAACTGAAATAATTTGATACCTTGTATTTATTTCAGCTCAAGAAGCAAAATGTAGAGATGATCGTATTTGTTAATTCTGAAGTGGAAAATGATCTAAGATTCAAGCAGTTTTAATACAAAATTGAATTTAACTGACTCATCACTCTGTGAGTTTCATTTAGGAATCNTCGGAATTGAAACGGGACCAAAAGATTGCAAATATCTAATATACCAAAAGATGGGATCAGAGCTAAATTCATCATAAAAATCTTTCTAAGGCCTCACTAAAAGATACACTATTTACATAAATGAATAAACGTGAAAGTAACTGCACAGAGCACGGAAGCGAAGACAAGGCTGCCTTGTTTAGAAAACTTTAAAGTGCGTTTAAGCAAATCGCTTTGTGCTCTATTCAATTGTCAAAGACCGATCTTGAGCACAGCGGCAATTTCCTCCGCTCGATCCAATTTGCCGTCGGTCCAGCATTAAACAAGTAGAAAAATAGGCTAAAGACGTGACGCGAGCGCGCTCGAGTGGATACGACGTGGGCAAATAAGACTAAGTCACATTTGAAACAGTTTTATTGTGTCGAATGTGGCAGCGTTAATACTTTAACGGCCACTTGCAGATGCTTTCTATTCGTCTATGACTGCCACAGAATTCCAGCGTTATGCTCTAGGTCCTAACCTAAATAAAAAAAAATCTTTCTTTCTTAAATTCTAATGCGCTTCGTAAACGTAGACACTTGTGTGTTTTATTAGATACTAGCTGACCCGGCGAACTTTGTTCCGCCTTAATGGCAATTGGCAATAAATAAGCAGACTTTTTTTTTTAATTTCGAACGGGATAAAAAGTATCCTATGTCCTTCTCCTGGCTCTAAACTACCTCCCTGACAATTTTGAGCTAAATCGGTTCAGCCGTTTTTGAGTTATAAGTGGAGTAACTAACACGACTTTCTTTTATATAATAGATAGATAATTGGCATCAGTGAACGTTTACCTAACCGATATGAAAGTGTTGAAAACACAATCTATTACACAGTAGCTTAAATAATTTACATCTGTAAAACTAAGTAGGTAAATTCGATCTGGATATATCCGGACACGATACCTAATTGTCTGATTTTTTAAAGTAGATATTTATGTGTGTGTCAAGCCAAATTTCTGTGTCACATGATTTCTTTTAAGTAGGTATATTGATTTGAGTAAACTCAAACCCTAGATATTGTAAGTATTACTTTATTATTTTAAGTCTTAGGCCGAGTTGCACCACCTATAACTTTAACAGTAACTATAACGATAACCGATGCTTTTTGTATGGAGTTTGACATATTTTTGACATTTGTCACAGTTAAAATAAGATGGTGCAACCCACCCTTAATGTCACAATGGAATATTCACAACAAGTTCATTAATACATGTGTGTTAGAAATAAATTGTAGGTAAATAAATATATTTTATTTAACCAAGTAAAACAATACACAGATCACGGATATTATTAAAAGCCTGAATGCTTCTTTTTGAAACGACACGGATTATCCGCGTGCTAAAGTAAGGATCAAGTCTTTTTTCTTCGGATACGTCAACCAATGCCAGCTTTACCCGAAAGCCGTTGGGAACAGATAAGTATTTGATGGGGAACGAAAGGCACGTTTAAAGGAAACAATTTAATTTAACAAATTAGCTACTGATGTTTTAGTTAATGGTTACTTTGATAATATTCGTCGTTATGTATGTAGGGGTTTCTTTACAGATCATAAATAGCTTTTAGTTATTTCATCTTCGTTAAGTCATCAAGTCTCCACCTACACGAGGTAGAAGGTCGTCTTCGTGCAGTGGAGACTTCATTTACCATAGGTAACAGAGAGGATTTGACCAACACTCCCCACGACGGGTTAGGGAGACCTAATGTTCTCATAGTCGTCTCTTACGACATCCACGGGAAGAGGTAGTGGGGATGGGTTTATTCTACTCGGCCGGAACCACACATCCATGGGAAGAGTGGGGGTGGACGTTAGTTTTACCCATTTATTTGAACTTCATTGCATACGGGAAGCAAGTACGCGCATGTTTTCGAAAGGTCTATTAATCAGTGCACTCACCAATGTGTAGAGGGCGCTCGCGTAGGCGGCGTGTTTGACGTGCAGCGTGCGACAACACGATAGCGTCGTGTCTTGCTCGTGCGCCGTCCATGCTTTCATCTGGGGACAAATCAACAAGCGTAAGTTACTATTCAATAAATCAACCATGAATTAAAACAAATAATTTACGAGTAGGTATTAAATTAAAGTAGAGTACGAGTAATGCAATGCACCCTTTTGCTCTACTGGCATCCGCAGAATACCAGGGACCCAATTATTGCTCTTATTTGTAATGTCTGCAAATCATTCGCGTTTCAACTAAAGTCGCGCGCGACTATCGCTCCATTTTTATTCCAGCTGATGTGCAATTCAGTATCACGGTAAATTTCACACTATGACAAAGACGAAACAACAGATTTATGCACTTTCCATTAAAAGTCCGAACTCCATATTTTTGAAACTAAAATTACTAAAACACACCATGTTCGTGAAGCTTTTGACTCGCGTTTGAGAAAAGTAGCTTTCTGTCAGGTTTTACGTAAAGGCGTAGTTGCATTCCGTTCACATTTCATCTTCGTTTGAACTAGCTGTCAAAACATTACTGCGATACAGATTTGTCATAACTTTTTNCTCTAGGTCCTAACCTAGACATAGCATTTGCTGAGTGGCTGCAATTTTGGTTCAAATTAAATAAACTATGGATATTAATGTTGTAGTCTTTATAAGAATTTTGGACTAAGTAAACATTTTTTCTTTCTTTCTTTCTTAAATCTTATTTAAGATATATCAATTTTTATTAATTTAATCACTTGTGTGTTGTTTTAGATATACGACATCAGTGAATGTAATATTTATTTAAATCGATATTGAAGTGTTGAAAACCCAATATATTAGGTACACAGCAGGTACTTACTTAATTTACATACAACACCTAATTGTCTGATTTTTTAAAGTAGATATTTTTGTGTGTTTAAGCCAAGTTTCTGTGTCACTGATTTCTTCTAAGTATTTTGAGTGAAGTCTGAATAAATGTGAGAATAAATGTGTGTTACAAATAAATTGTAGGTAAATACCTATATTTTATTTCACCAAGTAAAACAATACACAGATCACGGAGATTATTAAAAGCCTGAATGCTTCTTTTCGAAACGACACGAATTATCCGCGTGCTAAAGTAAGGATCAAGTCTTTTTCTTTCGGGTCGATACGTCAACCAATGCCAGCTTTACCCGAAAGCCGTTGGGAATAGATAAGTATTTGATGGGAAACGAAAGGCACGTTTAAAGGAAACAATTTAATTTAACAAATTATGCTACTGATGTTTTTGTTAGAATAGAATAGAATAGAAAGTATTTATTTGTCTCAAAACAGGTTTCATTTAATGGTTATTTTGTGAATATTTGTCGTTTTGTTTGTAGGGGTTTCTTTACAGATCATAAATAGCTTTTACTTATTTTATCATCGTTAAGTCATCAAGTCTCCACTGCACGAAGACGACCTCTTCATTTACCAAAGGTAAAAGGGAGGATTTGGTCAACACTCCCCAAGACGGGTTAGGGAAACCTAATGTTCTCATAGTCGTCTCTTACTCACTTACACCACACATCCATGTGAAGAATGGGGTTGGACGTTAGTTTTACCCATTTATTTGAACTTCATTGCATACGGGAAGCAAGTACGCGCATGTTTTCTAAGATCTATTAATTAGTGCACTCACCAATGTGTAGAGGGCGCTCGCGTAGGCGGCGTGTTTGACGTGCAGCGTGCGACAACACGATAGCGTCGTGTCTTGCTCGTGCGCCGTCCATGCTTTCATCTGGGGACAAATCAACAAGCGTACGTTACTATTCAATAAATCAACCATGAATTAAAACAAATAATTTACGAGTAGGTATTAAATTAAAGTAGAGTACGAGTAATGAAATGCACCCTTTTGCTCAACTGGCATCCGCAGAATACCAGGGACCCAATTATTGATCTTATTTGTAATGTCTCCAAATCATTCGCGTTTCAACTAAAGTCGCGCGCGACTATCGCTCCATTTTTATTCCAGCTGATGTGCAATTCAGTATCACGGTAAATATCACACGCTGACAAAGACGAAACAACAGATTTATGCACTTTCCATTAAAAGTCCGAACTCCATATTTTTGAAACTAAAATTACTAAAACACACCATGTTCGTGAAGCTTTTGACTCGCGTTTGAGAAAAGTAGCTTTCTGTCAGGTTTTACGTAAAGGCGTAGTTGCATTCCGTTCACATTTCATCTTCGTTTGAACTAGCTGTCAAAACATTACTGCGATATAGATTTGTCAAAAGGTGATTTAACCCACTTGTTACTAGCGTTTGATATACGGATCAACATAAAAATTAAATTATTATAAACAATGAGGGTGGTTTCTGATAACATTGTTTATATTAAACGATTCCTATGGGGTCCCTTTGTCCATCAGAAGTGTTTTGTTCTACATTGGGTGTCACATTTCAATCGTAAGCGTTTTGTTGTTTTCGTAAATTTTATGATGACTTTTTCAAGGTGAATACAAACATGATAAGTATTTATTCTAAAGTATTTCTTGACGAAATATGAAAGTTTGTAGCCCACTTTTTGTAAATCGATAACATAATTATAAACATTTTTATAGTAACTGTTACTAATTCAACGTTAAACTTAGTGATCCGTATAAGGAACGCTAGTAATATGAGCTGCGGTATTTTGTTGTTTTAGCGCATGCCTTCGAGGCCTTTTCCTTTAAATGAAATCATTGAAGAATTGGAGAAATATGAAGATGAGTGTATCCCTAACTTAATCACAATTTTCCCGCCGGAAAATCCGGAAAATTGTAATGGTGACTTAACCAAAGAGAACTCTGGTGATGAAAATAAAGTACCAATAAATTTGCCTGGATTACAAATGAGAGCCCACATAGAAATCACTAGAGAATTCTTCATCTAGTGATGATGAAGAAGACTGCATCCCGTTAGCTTAGATAGCCAATTATGCCCTAGACAGGGTCAGTCATGTTTGAATTATACAAATTTTTATTGAAAGGGTTCGCCAGAAGAGATTGTAGAAAACTCAGAGAGTCTGATAATATCAGAGAATTACTTATTTTCTGCTCTAAAATGTACTTAATACATTCCAAGATGGCCAAACCTTCGCCGCTATAATTGGAAGCCAAACTTGGATACTTAAAAAGTTGGAAATAACCTGTAGACTGTCTTAAAAAGGCAGATCCGACAAAGTTATCAGAGTTCAAGTCAAAATCTTGATCTGGTAATACGGTTTTAGATGCATCAGTAAAAAATATTTCATAATCTGGGGCCTTCTGCTGAATGTGGCGTTGTATTTCTTGATTTGGGTTAATAGTGTCTTTACCAATGCCTATAGAGAGAGATACATCTGGTTCAAATAGAATATCAATGAGTTGATAATGAAATAACGGATGACACGGGAACTTAAGTATGTCACCATCAAGTTGAATAAGTTTACGGTAGCTAGAAACTAAATGTGGCACACGCTTGTTACGCCAGAAACTATTGTTACCGTTGATGAATTCGTTTAGAGTTTGAAGTTTGCCGAAGAGAGGATGGTCTGTGAATTGGGCAGTTTTAAAGATGAACCTGTCTGAAAGGTATTGTCGACGCATGTTCAATGGAGGATCTGCACCCTCTACCTGCAAGGCGTTGACTGGTGTACTTCTCATAGCACCAAGTATAATTCTGAGGCTACGGGATTGTACCAAGTCAAATTTCCTAAGGGCAGTGTTACAGGCCAAGCTGTTCGTGAAGGAGCCGTAATCTAAAAGACTTCGTACTAATGCGTTGTAAACAAGCTTAAGAGTCGTAGGATGAGCACCCCACCACACCCCTGAAAGAGCTCTCATGACATTTAAACCTTTCTCACATTTGTCCACAGTGTAGTTGATATGAGATTGGCCATTACATTTACTATCAAACTTCCTTCCCAAGAAAGAAATTTCATTAGCGATGGGAAGCTGATTGCCATTGACTTTAATAATTATATCCGGAA